GGACCCGCAGTAATACCTGTAATCATCATAGGAGCCGGAAGGAGAGAAATAGAAGACGTCCACGCAGTCCTGCCCAGCGGAGAGCACTCTGAACTCGGGGCAAGACAGCGTCATGGTGGTGCCGGCCGGAGAAACGGCTTCCCACACGCAGGACACGCTGCTGGTGCCATAGCCGCTCGGGGACGTCAGCCGCACGCTCTCTCCAGCCTGAAGGGTGATGCTCCCAGAACATCCCGTGGACTGCCGCGCCCCCGGGAAGGCTTCGGAGGCCGCCACCGCCACCAGCAACCACAGACTCTTCATCGTCAGTGTTCTCCGTCCTGAAGTCGAGCTCAGTGTGAAGCAAGTGTCGCTGAGCCGCCCTGGCCCGCTGGCTCCAAATCAGGCATGATTTACGCGTGCTTAGGCATGCAACTGCGGAGCCGCGATTTATGGTCGCGGTTGCCATTTCACTGATTTCATATTTTGTATAGCACGTAACATCGCGAGAGAGAGAGAATGAGAGAGAGAGACGAGAGGAGAGAGAGAGACAGAAGAGAGAGAGAGAGAGAGAGAGAGGAGAGAGAGAGAGAGAGAGAGAGAGAGAGAGAGAGAGAGAGAGAGAGAGAGGTGTGGTGTGTGTGTGTGAGTGAGGTGAGGACAAAGGCAGAGAGAGAGATGAGAGAGAGAGAGAGAGAGAGAGAGAGAAGAGAGAGAGAGAGAGAGAGAGAGACAGAGAGAGAGAGGAGAGAGAGAGAGAGCAGGAGAGAGAGAGAGAGAGAGAGCAGAGAGAGAGAGAGTGTGTGAGAGAGTAGAGAGAGAGATGAGAGAGAGAGAGGATAGAGAGAGAGAGAGAGCAGGAGAGAGAGAGAGAGAGAGAGAGAGAGAGAGAGAGAGCACAAGAAATACATTACACATCGTCTTAATATGGGATCGAAACGCGAAACGAAAGTTATTTATTTTTGTTTCTATCTCTCCCATGTGTCAAAGTGGACGCGATGAACTCATAGAAAACGGACGCAAAATTCAACGGGATTCTGCACAAAACCGAGAAAAGAAAGACAAATCTATGCGCAAGCGAGAAGAATGTATATACATACATACATGAAAATGAAACTAGCCTTTTACCTATATTTCATTGTGGCTGCTTTCATTTTCATTTTTGTGTTCACGTGATTGTGTTTGTGCTTGTGTACATACATACATATATCTATCTATCTATCTATCTATCTATCTATATAATATATATATATATATTATATATATAATATATATATATTTAATATATGTATATATATATATATAATATATATATATATATATATATATATAATATATATATAAAAGTATATATATATATATATATATATATATATATATATATATATATATATATTATAAGTACACACACACACACATATATATATGTATATATATATATATATATATATATATATATATATATATATATATATATATATTATATATATATATATATATATATATATATATATATATATATGTGTATATGTGTGTATAGTATATGTGTGTATATATGTGTGTGTGTGTATTCATATGTAGATATATCTATGCACTCCCTTTTAATTACCCTCCTCTTATTTTTTTTTTTTTTTTTCATTTGTGTCTTTGTAACGCACCAATGGACCTTTCGTCAATTTCTTTGATTAAAAAATACTATTCAAAGAAAAATAACGCTTTATTGTCATTGAGATGTAACATTCGGTGCAACTGAAACCCATAATGCTTCTTAATATTTTTTCCTCTTAACTCTGCTTCGACATCTCTATGACGACGGAGACTCAGGGATGGCAAAACCCTCCGCCCGTCTTCGCTTCTATCCACTCCAGGTAGTTGGTGACCTTCGCGTACACTCCCGGCAGGCCCACTTCGGCGCAGGACCTCCCCCAGGACACCACGCCCACCAGGTAGTGCCGCCCCTGCCACTCCCATACGAGCGGTCCGCCCGAGTCTCCCTGGCAGGCGTCGTGGCCCGGGTCGTACGTGCACATCATGTTGCTGGTGATGGCCCCGTGGAGGAAGCCCTTGCACTCGGCCTCGGAGATGACGGGCAGCTCCACCTCGTGCAGCGCCTCGTTGACCTCGCCCTGGAAGACGTCGGTGCCCCAGCCCGTCACGGTCGCGTTCTCGCCCTGGAAGTCCCTCTCGGCGAACTGGAAGGGCAGGCAGACGGGGCCGATGCCGGGGCTGTACTGGACGGGGCCGCTCAGCCGGAGGAGGGCGATGTCGTTGTCGACGGTAAGCGGGTCGTACTCTTCGTGCATGATTATTTCCTGGATGGTTATGTGCTGCTCGTACTGCGTGTCCGCGTTCTGGTTGTAGACGTGGTCGCCCAAGCTGACGAAGATGTCCTTCTTGTTGAACTGCTCGACGCAGTGGCTGGCAGTCACCAACCAGCTGTCCAGCACGAGGGACGCGCCGCAGAAGACTTCGCCGTTGGAAACGAAGCGAAGAGCCGCCTGCCATGGCCACTCGTTGGGCGTGGCTTCCTCCCCGCCCACAATCCTCGAGCCGCTGCGACGCCCACACTCGCAGTCGCTCGGCGGGTTAGTAGTTTCAGGGAAGGAGGTCGTAGGCTTTGGACCGCGGATGGTGGTCGTCGGAGGCGGTGGCGGGAGGGTCGTGGTCTGCGCCGAGCCCTGGTCTTTAGGCCCTACAGTCAGGACACAACTAAATCCCCGATGAAAGTTGAATTGAAATTTGGGTCGAGAAAAGAAGTAGGCAGCGAAGGCGTTGTCGTTGGTTGTGATGCCCACGACGCCGGAGCCGCAGAAATAGCGAGCGTCCGACATGTAGCGGTTTCCGGACGGCGAGGCGTAGAACACGTCCACCGCGCAGTCCTTTGCAGGGGCCACGTCGAAGGAGGGGCAGGTCATCGTGATGGTGGTCCCCGGCGGAGACTGGGCGAGGTACAGGCAGGTTATGCCGTTGGGGTAAGGGAAGGGGTAGTTAGGCGAGGAGAAGTAGGTGGATTCTCCGTTTTGTAGGGTCACCTGCCCCCCACAGGAGCTCTGCCGCAGCGCCGGACTGGCAGACACGCAGGCCACAGCAGCCGCGACCAAAATCGTTTCCATTCCTTGTAGAAACATCGCGCTAGCTGATCAGGAAGCCCTCTCGCCTCTCGCTGATCTGGCCGCCCTCTCGCCTCCCGCTCCTTTATATTACTGACTCGCTTAACGTCCTGAACCACGAATAGATCGATACACATGTGTCCCACATGCTACTCTTAATGAAGCCCCATTTAATGGACACTTGTGCACACAACAGGGCGCTCGCGTTTAACATAAATGTGTTGATAATGAAATGAAATGATTAAAATAAAACAACAAAAAAGTAGTTCGGCGTATAAAGCTTTCTGAAATTTTCCTTTTTCCTGATGGGTAGTCATGCCCTTATAACGAAAATGCTTGGCATGAGTTTGCAGGAACCTACTTAACTGAAGGAGGAACTTGGGGTGGTTCACAAAGCCCTGCGTTTCCTGCAGCAGAATAAACATCTCTACCATCCTACTTACCTGAAGAAGGAGCATCAGACGACTCGTAGCCTCCTATAGTTCCTATAAGGAACTTACCCGAAAGAAGAACACAAGCCTCACGTCAAAAGAAAAAGGAACATACCTGAAGGAGGAACATCAGGCGGTCGGTGGCGTTCTGAATCTCCTGCAGGAGCTGCGTCATCGTCTGGGAGGAGCAGACGTGGAGGTAGTTGCTCAACTCGACGATTTCCGCCGTCACGTCCGTCACCTGGCTCAGCTTGGTGGACATGTCGTCGAAGGAACGGCAGATTCTGGGGGGGGGGGCGAAGGTAATCAAAATCAGTTTATCAATTTACTAATCCCTTAATCGATTTGTCAATCAATTTATTAATCAATTTATTTTCCAATTTATCAATCACCTTCTTATTCAATTTATTGATTTATTAACCAATGTATTAATCAACTTATCAATCTAGGTATTAACAAATTTATCAATCAATTTATTACTCGATGTACCAATCAATGTATCAATCTATTGCTTCTTCCCATGTTTATTTACCTGTTTATTCATCTATGCTTTTAAATATTCATTAAGTTTCTCATTCTTCAAATCATTTATCTATTCAAATACGCATTCACATACAGATACAGATTGTAGGTGTATGTATATTTGTCTGTATGGGTGTACTTGTATGTGTGTGTGTACGTATATGCATATTTGTAAATATGTGATTGTATATGTGCGTGTGTGTACATGTTTGTGTGTGTACATATGTGTATGTATGTGCGTCTGCTACCGTGTTAGTGTCTGCATGTATATATGTGCATGTATATGTGTATCTGTATATATTTGTATGTATAGGTGTATGTGTATATATTTGTACGTGCATGTATATGTTTATGTGCGTGCGTGTATGTGTGTACGTATGCAGTTATGTATGCAAACATAACAATAAAAGAAAAAAAAACACGTTCGTTGACTTTTCATTTCCAAGTAAAGCAACGTCGATTAAGCCCCACATTTACACGCTTATATAAATCCACATTTTTTTTTTCACCGATATTCGAATGACAAAAAAAAAAGAGAACTCACTCCTTGTCGTGTTCCTTATTCCGCGCCACGAAGTAGTCCTGGATCGCCGTGGTCAGCTCGAACACCTGCGCGGAGGAATAAAAGGAGGATCGCTTGAACGGGATCTTTTGTATCTATCTATACGTCTGTCTGTCTGTCTGTCTGTCTGTCCGTCTGTCTGTCTTGTGTCTACTGTCGTCTGTTTGACTGACTGGCTGTCTGTCTGTCTGTCTGTCTATCTATCTATCTATATATATCTGATTATCTGTCTGTCTACCTATCTGTCTGTCTGTGTACATAGTTATCTCTCTAAATAAATCATTTTTTTTAGTCATTTTTTTTTTTCTCTTTATTTCATTTATCTATGAGTGTATTTGCTTATCTATTTAGGTTTATCCACTTATCTATTAATTTATTCACTATCATCATTCTCTC